GTGTAGCTGCGCGTATATGAGAAGTGGACAGAATTGTGCTGCTGCATAACAAATAACTCCTAACAAACTGGCAGGTACCTGTGTGTCTTGCAGTGTCAGGGCATGGTAAAACAACACCCAATTTAACCAACAGCACATTGAACTTCATTCATTATAGTTATCCTGTGGGATTATGGGTATTTCTTTGTGTGTAGCAACTTTCACTTTAGGAAGTGGCAGATGATACTGACTTCCTGTCTCACTAAAACACAAACAGAAACACAGACTCACCTGTTAGCACAGATTAAGCACTAAAGCAAAGTGCATAGTCCTCAGTATTGGTGGCTTAATGTACTGTGTGATACTGCTCCACCTCAGGGTTCTCCCTCTGCTTTTACAGCCATGATGATATTGTCCAACACTAATGCCGGGCTAACTGCCACTGCCGCAGGCTGTATGCAGCGGGTCGAGGTGTGAAAACAACATGTTACCTCACACCAAAGCGCACATACATACACATACACGCACATTGCAAGCGATGCGATGCACAGATGTGGTGCAGTAGAGCCCTAAATGTATGCAGTATCTCCTAGGTTACCTGCAGCAGTAAGTCTGTGCTGTTGGGTTTTTAAATTTAAACTTCTCCTGCAGAAGTCGTGACGGCAGTGTGCAGATTCCCCGTCTTACTGCATCTACTCAGAATGCAAGATTGTACTAAACTAAAGGATTCTTCCTGTGAATTTGGTAAATGCAGTTGGAACTGGCAGTACAGCAAGCAAGTTAAAACATTTGAGTTCCACACTGGCTCGATTTGCATGTTTCCATTGTCTTTACAATTGATGGTGTGGGATGCTGTTGAATCCTCTGTAAATCAGTCTGGATTAAAGGTCAGTGAAATGTTAAGTGTAAGCTAAATGTCAATCAGTGATGGGATATGAGCGATAGGGACACAAAAATAGTAAATGGGGTTTGGAAGATGGTGATCACATTAGTGCTACAGAGGCAGCCATAGCCCTGACACATGAAGCATCATGCCTCTGGATGAAGTCAGGTTGAGAACTTGAGGGAGGTTAAGTGTGTTTGGAAAGAGTTTGCCTTTTTCATAATTCAGTAGAAACATTGTAGACACCCAATCATGTTTCATCTGAGGGTTGTCTGAACCCACTCAGGATTATTTACCTGCACTGGGGGTTCTCTAACAGCTGTCCTCTTCCCTGGTAGTCAGCCTCACCAAAATATATTGGTAACTACCTAATAGAAAAGGAAACAATATTATGTTTTTAATCCGTTCTAACTGTATTCCTTTTATGTTGTTCCTTTTCTTTTTATTGTGCTTTTTGAAAATGTGTTTATTTAATATAACCTCATCATTTTTAGCCAACTTCAATACAACTAGGGCTAAAACTAACAGTTATTTTCATCATTGATTAATCTGCTGCTTATTTTCTCAATAAAATGTCAGAAAATAGTGAATAATACCAGTCATGTCAGCATTTTTGCTTAAAAAAAGAGTAAAACAATTGTACGATCAAAATAGTTGCAGATTAATTTTCTGTCAATCGACTTATCCTTGCAACTATAATAGATCCCTTGGTCTTTATGCACAATTATGTCTTGGAAAGACACCAAAGAATCTTCCATGCAGTCTCTGTTGATCTATTATTGGTAGCTGTCTGGTAGAACCAGAAAAGTGATGACAGCCTTGTAAGCAGTGCTGTTTTATTGTTATTCTGTTATTGCACAAGCAAGCTGTGTTGCTACTGAATTCAAAACCTTTCTTTATTTTTAAATATTTTTCATCCAGTGACTATAACAGGTAACTATTGATGTATCTTAAAGGGACGTATTTTACAGCCTTTGCGTAATCTGATTGGCCCAGAATCAGGAAGGAGAGACAAAAGCTCATGCACAGAGGCGACCAAATAAGGAGATGGGCTGTGGCCTAGGCTTTGATGGACATCATAGTGCAGTAGAAGCTTTGAGTGACTTGAGGGGCGGGTGCCGGTGGTTTTAAAAGGGAAAAAAAAAAATCTCCCTCTGGCTTTCATCAAGCGTGGCAGGCAAGGACGAAGAGGGAAGGGGAAAGGGGGAATGGGGGGCGGGGGTGAACACAGGCATACTTACTTCTCCAACCACAGGAAAAGAAAAGAGACGGATTACAGAGGGAAAAGAAGCCGTAGAGAGTATTTCTGTTTTCAGCCAGGCATCTATGCAGCCACTAGATCGCTCCAATAGACAAAGTGTTATGAATTTGCATGATTGATGCCTTTTCAGTAGCATCGCCACTTGGCTATTGACTGTGTTTCTGTGGCTGGTGACGTGTGCTGTAACTTGGGTGGTTAGAGGCTAAAGTCAGCAGACAGACACAGACGCACGCTTGAAAAGATTTGCTGTGAAAAGGCCTTTCCTCCCCCTCTCCGTGTATGGAAAAACATGGTGTCTCAGGTAACACAAATGCTGTGTGTTTGTGTGTGTGAGTGACAGCATGGATGAATAGGTCCTATTCCAGATGGTCCTTTTTTAGTTGTAATATCAGATCGTTGATTAAAAAAGCATTTCAATAGACACTTGATCTACTCTGTTTTCAGCTTTGCTCCTATCGCTTTTCATGTCATTGTTAAACGAAGCATAGTTTGTTTAATTGTATCACAGATTCAGACAATCCTGCAGCTTATCTCGCAATGTCAAAATTCAGTTTGGGTTAAGACCAGACATAACTCTAATAGAGCCTGTCATTATTTCCCATAATCCCCCTTCCCCCTCCTGTTAAGCCCCCCCCTTTTTTCTTTTTCCATTATTTCTTTTTTCCTCTCCCCCCTCTCTCCCTTTGCCTAGTATATGATACTGCCATGTAGGGCAGTGCTGCTCCTTAGTCAGTGGGTCAGGAATGCCTGTGTAGTTTTAAGGTTGTACTCTTCTTAACTCTGATCTTAATCCACTGACAGCTTTTATTCGCCTCTCTGTTTATTAGTTCATCATTTCGTTATCGTTTATACCCGGTAATCTAAATCATAACACAGCCTTAACACACATGGTCACAAGCACTGTGGTAGTGTTCTTTAAACCTAAAAAAAAGACTAAATATTACAGCAAACTCAAAGTTTATTTTTTATTTCATATGACGAATCAAGTGGAAGCATCGGGTAATGACATCTAGTTAGTTCAGGCTTGGCAGTGCTTTTATTCAGCTAGGAACCATGCAATAGAGTAGACTCAATAAACAAAGCTTTTATAAACCACAGGCTGCTTCTCGGGTGCCCTGAAGCAGTCTTCTGAAAAGCACTGGATGATCAGTGTTTGTGATATGGCATCCCTGTTAATGAAATATCTCAGTTCTGGGAGACCCAGTCACGCCTTGGCTCTCTCATGCAGCGAGATTTAAAATGTAGATGAGCACTCCTGTTAAAACATGATTAGGTCTAATTCCCTCTCCATCTAATTATAAGCTGTAACCTTCTTGTTCTGTTGTCACTGTTTTCTCTAATTCTTTTACTCTCCTCTCTCCCTGTGCCCAACATTTTCGGGGTGTGTGACTCAGCCCTGGGCAGGGATATGCCTATAGGACACACCCTTTAGTGGCTGAATACAGGCTACTGCATGTTTATGAGCTCACATGCCCTAACAAGTACACTTAAGCTTTGATACATCCCCAGCCTTGGTAGGCTAAGGCCTAACCAATGAATTTCAATGGCTTATCGTCTCTTTTGGAGCAGGTTTTGGATGGGTCCCTTTTTTTTTATCACTTGGTGACAGAAACCCGTAGCGGATGCAAAACACAATAAGCTTTCACACATTCCTTCCTAACATACATTCAGCCATACCACAGCGAACGAGTTTCCCAGATTTTTCCATCCAGTTTTTGGATTACGCAGCCTTCTCTGATGCCTCCTCTATCTGTTGGGCCCAGACCCCAGAAGCTGCCTGTCTTGCAGATGGGCCTTTTAGCCTCAGCTGGCTTTTTTACAGCCAATGCGGTCGACTCACTGCAGAAGAGCGGCGAGCAGTCAGGCTATAGGATTAGAGAAAGGGAGAGGGAGAGGGCTTGCTTGCTTTGCGGCATCTTGGTTACTCTGTCTAATTAAAAAGCCTGTCTGGAGACCGAGTGTCTCTTGGCGTCGCCCAGCCCAGATCCAGAGACCAGACCAGTGGTTAATGGTGTTTGGATGCTGCCTGGCCTGGTGTGGAAGGAGCAACCCTGACCCTAAAAGCCTTCTTTCTTTTTCAGCTCATTCTGTATCTCCCTGTCCATCCACCGTGTCTGCCTTTCTTTCTACTCTCTGTCTTTGCTGTAAAAGGACTTAACTTAGTAACTTAGAAACTTAGTGCAAGATGTCCTTGAGCTTGCGTGAATTGATTGAAGCAAGCAATGTTGCAGAGTCACCACATACACACACACGCACACACACAAACACATACAAGATAAGGTGTATGCGTTGGAGCAGCAGCACAGCTATAAAGCATCTGTAGATTATCCTGCTGCTGATACAGTTGTAACAGTGCAGGGGGAAAAAATAACCCGAGGCAACATAGTCCCCACTGATACACAGTTAATCTGAATTATAGATGGCCGCTAAAAGAAATCCAAAAATACAGGAACAAGTATTCACACAATGCAGCAGTAGCTGTAAACATGTCACGGTTATCATGGCGCAGTCTGTGTTTATCTCTCTGCGTGTCCATCCATCCCATAAGCATCTTTGTATCTCAAACCATGTATCGAATTTTCTGACTCTTAATAATAGATGTGTTTGCAGTAAATATTTCATGGTCGGCTGACTGAAAACACATGCCTGTCAGAGATATGGAGGTAGAGGGAGGGGGAGAGGATAGTAGGGAGGGAATGGGGGAGTAACTGAGTGGTGAAGGAGAGAGAGAGAGAGTGAAATTTAATAGGCAGGGTTTTAACCCCCTCATTCTACCTTCATCAGGATGCGACAGCCACTGTTACAGGCTTACTGAGTACATATGTTAACTTGTCTCCTTCTCTTCTTTCCTCTCCTCTCCCTTCCCTGCTGCTGTAGGGCTCTCAGGATTCTACAGGAGGACAGGAGGGTTTGGTGGCCCCACCCTTTTCAGCGTTCCCTCCTCCACCCCCTCCTCAAAACGGGCTACCAGGGACAGACTTCGTCCCTGGGGCAATGTTTGGTGCTGGGGGCCAAGGTACAGCAGAGGTAGGGGCTGGTGCTAATGGAGCCACCACAACTACCACCACCACCACCAACAACATCGTAAGCACTGTGTTTATTAGTCTTAGTAAGATTCTGTATGATTCTATTTATTTTTATGAAATAAAATTGCTGTTGCAGTGCTACACTGTTGAAAGAATAAATCAGAAATTGGTTGGTCACTCCACCATTTTGGTCCAGATGGAAATATCTCACTAACTACTGGATGGATTGCCGTGACACTTTTTTTATACGCATGGTCACCAGGATAAATACTCATGACTCTGGCGATCCCTTTCACTTAACATTTACCTCCACCAGTAGCGTTGTATATTGGCTAAGATCTGGTGAGACAATGCATATTACGATACAGGGGTAATGATTGTATATGTATGATATATTCAGATACTATAAGCATCACAATATATTGTGAATCTAATTTGGGGAGTTTTCAGGAGTTCATGCAACCAGAACAGGATGTGCATTTGTATTTATCATAGCTCTTGTAACAACCAACATCATAACCCCCAGCTTACATTTACAACACTGCTATGTAGCGTGTAGTGAGAATTGACAGTGTCACAAATGTACCCAAAACAAAATATTGTGATCCTCAAGTTTATGGATATTTTCTTTAACCCAATACCAGCAGCCATTTTAGTTTTATAGTGAAATATCTAAACAGCTGTTGCACAGACATTCATGGTGCTCAGAGGATGAATCCCAATGACTTTGGTCATCCTGTAGTGCTAGCAGCAGGCAGACATTTTTGTTTTTGGTGAAATATCTCAAATACTTTTGAATGCATTGCCATGAACTTTGGTATAGTCAGTCTTTACCCCCGCAGGATGCATTGCAGCAGCTTTGGTGATTGCTTCACTTATTTTTTTTTTCAAATACTTGGAAAACTAATGACCTCAGCCTCAGCTGGACTTTGTGTGTAGTGCTAATTAGTAAATGTTAGCATACTAACAAGGCAAACTAAGCAGGTGAACATGGTAAACATTATACCTGCCAAACATCAGCTGTCAAGGTGCTCCCAGTCTCTGAGAGCTGCAGACTCTTAGTCTTGTTATTAAACATAAATACAAAAATCTTCTAAGAAGCAGCTGAGATTATAATTTCATTATATAATGATATAATTTCCTCCCAACCACAGGTAAAGACAGACGAGACGTCCCAGGGGGAGGCAGGTGTACAGTGCGGTTCAGGAGGTTCAGGAGGAGGAGGCTCAGTGGGAGACCCCACGGAGGCCAAAGGAACCCCTAAACGTCTCCACGTCTCAAACATCCCCTTCCGCTTCCGGGACCCTGACCTCAGGCAGATGTTTGGGGTAAGAATATGGGAATGTTGTGGGCCTCATTTTTAAAGGGATCAATAAATCAGTCTAGACACCTCGGGACCGCCGCGACGGGGCACGCTAGGGGTGGGGTTTAGGGACCGACAAAAGAGTCAAAGGAAAACACAAAGGAAAGACACTCATGATTGTTCCTTGGTGCTTGAGGGGGCAATTGTCCGCTATGTGTGTCAGTGTGTTAGCATGAGTGACGAAGTGAGAGGGGAAAAAGGGGACAGAGCACAGTTCAAGGCGAAGGGACAGCAAGAAGCTCATTGAACTGTGGGATGTTGTCTTTTGTGTAACAGTGACACCTAGTGCAAAGCAGTTGTAATTCACACAATGCCAGAAGCCTCAGACTTTACAGTTATGCCGTCCTAAAACACTACAAACCAAAACAACTCAAAGATGTAATTTACAGTTTTCTTTATATATATTTGCTAATTTCTTCCCTTCTTATCTATTTGCAGCAATTTGGAAAGATTCTGGATGTAGAGATTATTTTCAATGAGAGGGGTTCAAAGGTAAGTCCACACACTGCACTTCATCTGACTGTTGACTAGTGAGAGTAACTTCCACTTTGCATGGTTTTTCTCTGTGAATGTGACACTGTGATATGGTATCAGCACGCCACGTGGGGAATCATTGTTATGAAACTCCAATTATCTGTTTAACAATGTCAGAGTGCACACCAAGGTCTAAGGATTCTCCTCTCTCCCTCTCCACAATCCCTTATGATGTGCCCCTCACTCACCGCCAACCTCTTTAACCTCTGCTGTGTGCCACAGGGTTTTGGCTTTGTGACATTTGAGACCAGCGCCGATGCGGAGAAAGCCAGGGAAAAGCTCCACGGCACATTGGTGGAAGGTCGTAAGATTGAGGTAATTTTCCCTCCTCTCTCTCTTCTTCTTCTGTATTCTCTCTGTACTTCCATCATAATTCTGCTTGATCACTGACTGCTAGCTAGCTCCCATCTTCCCTTTAGTGATATGCTCTGATGCAGCCCACTGGTATCCCACTCCCTGGTCCTCTGCAATGTGTTTTTCATTTTTAAATCTAAAAAGACTTCTTTCCTCCTCTTTTTTTCTGTTTTGTTTTTGTGGTGGGAATGATTGGGGGTGCAAGAACACTACATAAGGCATGCTGGGTACTTTTCCTCTGCAGCATTTTATTATTTTTTTTTACATTTTTGTTTCCTCTTCACCTTTTATTTCCACTGATGCGCAACTTGTAGCCACACTGACGTTACAACTTTTTTTTTTTTTTGCAACAATTGGAATGATGTTTGTGTAGCTGGCACCGGAGGGCACGAGAGGAACGCAGTGAAAGGATGATGCATGGCAGATTGCTGTCAGATGCTCTTATTTTCTTCCCTAGAGTAGAAATCCTTCTGTGTTCCCCTCTCCCGGTGCTGCAGCTAAGTGGTTGTGACAAGCTTATGGCTCCTGGTGCTATAGCAGCATGCTGGGAATCACAGCAACACTGACGCATGTTCACTTTATGGAAGTCTGGATTCTTACCAATGATCTGTGCACTTGAGTTTTTATGTTTGTAAAGTCTATGTGCGTTCAGGTTGTTTATTTTGATTTAATTCAATATTGTTTGTTTCTTAACTGAAGCATGTGCTGAGTATTTGAAAGCAGTTTTTCTTCTTTATTTTAATTGGGGTTTTAATCAGCCAGTTGTCCATATTGGATCTCTTGACCCACGCTACTGTAAGCCAGGATTTCTGCATGGGCTTACTGTGGTGATTTCCTTGTGGTGTGTGCGTGTATGTGGGTGTGTGCGAGTCAGTTCCTGCATGATGGATGAGGCTGGCTGGACCCTGTTTTAGTTCTGTACTCTCAGTTCTGCTGCAGTGTGGTCGAGAATGAAAGACAGCCACCTGCACCCACTGGTACAACACACTCCCTCCACCACCTCCACCTTCAGTCAATCAGCAAGCTGAATGGATACTGATGGAGCCAATTTACCCTGCATTAGTCTTGTGTTCAGTCAACAACCCGTGTTGTCCCTGGCATTGCTTTAACCTGATTCTCTGTTTTTCTTCCCAAGTTCTGCATGACATCAGTCACTTGTATTAATCAGCGAGCAGTTTGTCCTTGTTTTCAGCTGTCACATTTGCATGTATTCTGTTGTACTTGTAGTGGTGTTGGGCTGTAGCGAGTCATGTATCAGCTGCATGGTGAGCCAGCAACAGGAAGTCTGTAGAGTGTGTCTCTTTCTGTCTGTTTATGGTGCATGGGCTTGAAGAGACAAAAGGCTGGCGCAGGACAAATCGCGGATTTGTGTTTATACATTCTTTCAACGGAGGAGAAAGGGCCGGACATTTCTATTTGAGGCGATGCTATCTGGCAGTTCTCCTTTCTTGCAGATGTTGCTGTGTTACTCTTGCTTTAATTGGTCATATCATTTCAGAGTTTGTTGAACTAAGATGGCAGATAACTATAATAACTATAGTAATCATATTTGTGTAATGATTCAGAAACTCTGAAATATAGGCCTACTGTATACCATGGTTATACATTAATATTCAACTATGATCATGTGTAGCCCTGCAGTTCACTGCTATCCACTGGCATGAGTTCATTTACTGTAACCTAAGTGTGCATGGTTGGTATTTGAATATGGAAATATGTTGCCTAACTGAGGCAGTACTGCAGGCAGCTGGGTGTATTTCTTGCATGTTTATTCTGTATGGCTATTTGTTGAAATTAGCTTTGGTGATGGGACTGTTGACTTTCTTGTTCAATTGGCATGAAATCAGTTGCACCTGGGTACCTCTTAGTCTTGCCTCACTCATTGAAAAAAGGCTAAATAGCTGAACTCTTAGTTTTTCAGTGTAAGTTTTGATTGAATGACTTATAAAGATACGCTGTCCTTAACTCGAGCGCTGACATTTCCTATTCTCGGTGCATGCCAATGGGAGTTGGTTAGTAGTTACTCTCATAGATGATAGCTGCCCGTAGTGTGCATGTCTGTAGCCTATATGAAATAGAAAGAGAATTGTTGTGCTCAAAGTTAAACTGTACTTGTCTTTGTCTGGAATAAAACTCTGCGCTTTGAAGAAGTCAATTTCCTGTGTGCTTCCAATGTATCCATGTAAGTGGCCCAACTACAATTCACTTTGTCTCTACCTGCTTCTCTGTGATCCCATCTCATCACCATTAATTCTATATATAGAGTCCTGTAGGCCTATATATAGGTGTGACAGTGTGTATCTTAGTTTGCACTCAAAAACATACACACCTCAGTGCATCTCCACCCACTCACGGCTGTTTCCGTGCGTATGCTCTAACATACATGGGTTAACGTCATTGACTTGTGTTACTTTGACTGTAGGACACCCTACAAAGCTAACGATAGAAAATCTCAACACAAACCATCACGTCACATATGTGTAGTCGCATATTTCATTTTTGTGCTGCAGTTATTGGGCTGTACAGGAAGTGCATTAGGGTCCCCACATGGTCTCATTTGTGCTGCCGCAAACCTGGATCCGGGAAATCATTAAGGCCACGGTTGCACCAACCGTGCTTCTTACTGATGAGTCCAGCTCTGTGTGAGCAACCATTAGCTGTTGGTCACACAGAACAATGTTCTTTTGTCCAGTTAACACACTTCTATTTCTTTACCTGTTTCTCAATAGATGACAATTTCAAGATGTGTGTTGGCTGTTATACAAGCAGGAATAGTTTCATTGTTCCGTCTTAGGGAAGGTAAGACAAAATACAGAAACTGCAGTGAGCTTTTTCTTAAATCAGCACCAAACAATCAGCATTGCACAAGAGGAATCTGCAGGTTTACCTTGTTTTTTACGGGAATCTTGCGGGTAGCTTTCTGGTCTGCTTGCTGTAGATCCACAGTGAACTGCGTGGGAGGGCTATGGCAAGGACAAAAGTGTAGCAGTTTGTACACATCAGTGGTTGCACACAGCCACAGAGGCATGTGCATGGGCACAGAGACCATGCAAGACCCTATAAGAATCCATTCACTAACTCCTGCTCTGAGGTTGCGCGTTTGTGGGTTGATCTGTGTAGTTGGAGTATTCGGGGAAGTCACGGCTCCTCCGCAGTGCAGAGTTTTAGTCAGACATTTGAACATGCAGGATAGCTTAGGT